CTTACTAATTAGGGGCTGCTAAATTTTTCCAGATCTAGGTCTATAATAGAAAGTTATTTTAAAAAAAATCCCTATTCAGCATTTGGTGTAACTGTAGAGGACCCCACATTGAGTCTAATTTCTCTGTAGACTACACAGAATGTTCAACAGTAAGGAAATAGCATCACCTTCTCTCCAGCCATGAAGGAGAAGTAGAACCCTGACGTTTACAAGAGGAAAGACTCAAGACAATAATTAGCTGCTATTCCATGAAGCTCTACGTAGCCTGAACACGAGCCCTGACAAAGGAAGAAGCATATAAGACCACAGAGAACTGGTTAAAGATGGTGACAGTTTAGTTTTAAGTAGGACTTAAATTTGGTAGCTTAGAGGCCTCCAAAGGTGATGGACGTTAACTATGTGTGATGCAAAACTTTAGAGAAATGAAACTCCCTTTGGCAATAAAAAAAGGTCTAACTCTCCGATTTTCCAAGGAAACTTTCAGGAAAGTAAAAAGGTTACGGAGCTGGTTCTTAGAAGACTCACTAACCCTCAAGAGAGTAAAAGTTTATCCTCAGTGCAAAGACACAGCTTTGTTCTTTTTTTTCCTCTACGGGAAAAAGTTTTAATTATTGTAATATTTGTGGTATTTATTTTCTAAAAAATGATTCTCAATATAAGTCAAATAGTGCATTTTTAGAGTTGCCATATAGTGTATCAGCCTAAAGGTATGCAAGCAATTAAAAAAGAACACAAACTATACACAGACGCAGGGACTTAATGGAAATTCGCAGTAAAACAACAAGCACCAGTATGACCAATCTAAAATTATGCCCTTTAATAAAACACAGAACATTGGCAAATATTCTTCATGCTACTGCCTTTGCTATGATGGCTGATGAGACTAAACTGAGAGAGTTGCTATGTGTGTTTGTTAAAGACGCCACTCAGGGCCGAGCCCGTGGCACACTCGGGAGAGTGCGGCGCTGGAAGCGTAGCGACGCTCCCGCTGCGGGTTCGGATCCTATATAGGACTGGCCGGTGTGTGCGCTCGCTGGCTGAGCGCAGTGTGGGCAACACCACACCAAGGGTTGCGATCCCCTTACCGGTCATGAAAAAGACAAAAAAGAAAAAAGACGCCACTCAGTGCTCATCTTACTTTTAGCCCTTTATATGACCATTAGCAATGATCTTACTGCAGAGTTTGAACTTTCAGCTGGAACTCTTGCTTCACAGTGTGCCTGCCAGGAAGATTCTGGTCTCTATACCCACCATCCTGCCCTGCTGTGGCAAATGATCTCCGTGGCTCCTCCTCCAAAAGCGTGTTCTCTAGACAAAGAGAGGAAGTAAGGAACTTTCTATCTGCAGATGGACAAAAACAGTTTGACTGCATAGTGCCTTGGTAGGAGAGAGATGTTCTGCAAATAGAAAATGAAAATGCTAATGTAAGTATTCCTTTTCAAAAGCTCTTTGTTCAGAGAGGAAGTATGGTCCAGTGAGAAGGCAGTGCTGTCAGTGACTGTGACTCACAGCTCTTCCCTGTCCCTTACAAGCAGTGTCACCCTGAACCAGCCCCTCAATCTCAAGTCGCAGTGAGTGATGTCACTGGTAGAAGAGGTCAATGCTATCTCACCACCTGGAAGACTGCCAGGAGCTCTTTTATGGCTGCTCACAGCCCTCTGTGCTATAACTTTACACAGAAAGAAAAATAAAAACAGTAAGGAAGATTGGTGCAAGTGGGTCGCTTTTTGGTTTAGTTACATAGTTTATACACAGACTTCCAGGTCCAGCCAAAATGCACCAGATTTATCCTCCCACCTTAAAAAACCAACAAATGGACAAAATATATGGAATAATGTTTTTGCATGATACTAGCCATCAGGTGAAAGACAGTGCTCCCCGAGAAAGGGAAAACAAAGGAGGCCCTATAACTGCCCAAGCTTATACTGCCTTGAGGATCAAGGTGGGGAAACAGAGGATCAAGGTGGGGGAACCCAGGCCGAGCCTGGAGGACTCCCAGAGTGGAGGACATGAAGTGAGGGTCTAGAGAAACCAATGTGGCTAGAATTCACAGGACAGAGTACTGGCGAGAAGATAGAGTTGTTTTACAAGAGAACCCAGACATTTGCAGAGGGTGATCCTTGAGAATGTGGCTGAGTAATGATCAGTAATGAGTAAAGAGTAATGCATAATGAGTGATGACCAGTGCATGCATGTGAAAGAAACTGAGGCCACAGGGGAAAAAAAATCACCCAAGAGAACTAGAGGTAGTAGACCCTGGAGTTCACACAAGGACAGTAATCATACCTATTCCCACCAGTCTGATGGGAAAACTCAGCATTCACGGTAGATTACTCACTAGTGGCGAATAACTAGGTATAGGCAGATAACTGCTCTAATCCCACTTAATGAATCTAAAACAGCAAAACCCAAAAAGATCAAATTGTTTCCAAGTAACTTAACTACATCCCAGAGCAAAGCTCAAGAATATTTATAGGTGTACCAAAACACTGAGCACTTAACAAAGTAAAATTTACAGTGTTTGACATCCAATAAAAAATTACCAGGCATGAAATGATGCAGAAAAATACCACACATAATGGAAAAAAAAAATCAATGAAAATTGACCCTAGGTTGACACAGATGCCAGAATTATCAAACAAGAATATTTAAACAGTTTTTATAACTGTATTCCATAGGTTCAAAAGTTAAAGATACAGAAAATATTAGGGAAAAAATAAGCCCAGATTGAATTTCTAGATATGAAAACTATAGTAAAGTAAGACAATGAGATGAAAAATGGCAAGACTGAACTACACCATAACACCATGGCACAACATAATTAAATGGCTTAAAACTAGTGATAAAAAGAAATCTTAAAAGCAGCCAGATAAAAAATAGACATGTTATTTATGGAGACATAAAGGTAAATATATCAGCTTTCTTGTTGGAAACAACACAAATAAGACAATGAAACATCATCTTTAAAATACGAGGGTACTTCAAAAAGTTCATGTAAAAATAGGATTAAAAGATAATACAGATGTTTCCATGAACTTTTTGAAGTATACTTGTAGAGAAAGGAAAAAACCTTAATTTAAAATTCCATGTTCACCAAAAATATCTTTTAAAACCAAAGGTGAAATATAGACATTTTCAGACATACCCAAGCAAAATAATCCATCACCAACCTACATGCACTCTAAGACATTTTAAAGAAACTCCTTTGGGCAGAAGGAAAAGGACACCAGGTGGATCTGCGCAAAGAATTAAGGGCACCAGAAATGGTGACTACAAAGGTAAATATGTAAATTATTTTTGCTTATTATTTAAAACTCTTTAAAAGATAATTGATTACTTTTTTAAAAGTGTGGCAACAACCAGCTCAAAGACTGAGACTTGGAAGATGGAAGGACTTTATTACAAGATGCTTATGCCATCTGTGAAGTGGTATAATATCACCCGATCTGGTATATCATTGTGATACGTTAAAAATATTTTCTATGGACCCTAAAGCAACCACCAAAATAACAAAATAGTTATAACTTCCAAGCCAACAAAGCTAAAATAGAAGCATAACCAATTTTAATTAGTCCAAAAAAAAAAAAAGAGAGAGAGAAAACAAAGAACAGACTGGACAAATTAAAAACAAACAGCAAGATGACGATTCAGATATGACCATATCAATAACTTCACTCAAAGTACATCATCTTCCCAATTAAAGACCCGCCTATATACTGCCTACAGGAAATGCACTTCAAATATACAGGCAAATAGGTTAAATAAAAGTACAAGGATGGAAAAATACATTATCCTAACATTAATCAAAAGAAAGCTGGAATAGCTTTATTAATATTGGACAAAGTAGGTTTCAGAGAAAAACATATTATGAGGAATAAAAAGGTTATTTCATAATGATAAGGGGTCAAAGGGGGCATAACAATCTTGAATGTTTACATGCCTAAAAAACAGAGCCTCAAAATACATAAAGCAAAAACTGACAGCACTGCAAGGAGAAACAGACCAACCCACAACTACAGTGGAAGCTTTCAATACCCAAGGCCCAAAGAAGAATAAAACAAGTAGACATAAAGGACACGTTCACGCTCAGAAAGCTTCTTACATTCAAAGTAAATTTTCCCATTGAGTGTCAGTGAAGAAATCTATGCCTGTACTTCTTGCTAAGTGTTTCTGGGCAATGATCACTGAAAACCACAATTAAACCTCTTCACTGCTGATGTCATGGCTGACAAGGGCTCCCCCTAGAAAATACGACCAATGCTCTGAGCTGGAAATTTGAGTTCTAGTTCCTATTGGTCCACTAAAAATTCTTACAACTCAGTCAAGTCTCAACTTCTCTTGATCTCAGTTACATCACTTACATGATGAGGGGGTTGGGCTAGGTCACTCCTAAAATCCTTTGCTATAGGCTGAATGTTTGTGTCCCCCGATCCCCAAATTCATACATTGAAACCTAGCCCCCAAGGTGATGGTATTAGGAAGTGGAGCCCTTGGGAGATGATTAGGTCAGAGACCCTCATGAATAAGTCTGTGAACCAGGACCCAGGCCCTCACCAGACACCAAATCAGCCAGTGCTGGATTTGTGAGAAATACATTTCCGTTGCTTATAAACCATGCAGTCTATGGTACTGTGTTATAGTAGCCTGAATGCATTAAGACATCCTTCCAGCTTTGATGGTTCATACTTGAACTATACCATCAGTTGTCACCCCTTCAGGAATATTAAATCTAATCAGGTCTTGCGCTTGTAGGTCCCTGGGAAGCCTGTGTGACTGCTCTGTGGAGAAATGTGAGTTTCCATTGAGCTGAGATGGTCCTGCAGAGGCAGGTGCCCTGGGACCTTTTGTCCTTCAAGATGGAATGGACAGAGGTTGAATCTGTGAATAATGGTGCTCACGCATGGCATTTCTCGTCATTTCTTTTGTGTGGCCTCCAGACCCAAGTACCCCACCCCAACCGTCTGTGCTGTGACCTGAAGCAAGGTCTTGGTGAGACCCACCCGAGGAGGAACAGCCTGCAGAGCAGTGATGTAGTTCTCCAGCGCCAGGCGGCGGCGGTCATTGAGCATGGCTTCCACTCTGGCCATGTGCGTCTCCACCAGCTGCTGTCTCTCGTTGGCTGCTTCCTGTTCCAGAGATTCCACTTTCTCCTGGAAATGCTGCCGTTGAAAACACACGTGTGTCAACTGGGAACTGAACTAGTAGGATGGGGCTGCAAATTGGAGTCTTTCAAAAGGGGATTTCGTATTCAATTTTCTTAAAGTGATAAAAACAATCCCAAAGATTGCACAGTCCAACATTTTCACTAATTTTGCATGTTTTACAGTTACTTCCCTTTTCTGTACTCCCCATTCCCCAACCAAACTTAAATTTTCATTGGAAATCAGTATTTCATAGGGTCTCTGAGGACTAACTTGACAATCATAATGTCAGATGCACTTTTGAAATGCTTTCACTACATATGTTTTTTAAAAATTCCTCACTGAAAGTGCTTTAAGTAAATAAGCACAATAAGCTCTTGGTTAACTAAAGGTAATTTTGAGACTGGTTTCAATGAAAAATACAAATTTTCAGCATTTTTGCCAGGGGAATAAGTAGCAAAAAATTATGGCAAACAAAAAGATGTATTATTAATAAAAAGTAGGCTGCAAGTAATAATATGAGTTTTATGGCAATGAATTATAACTTGATTAATTGGGAGCACATATAAAGCAGGGATTAAATGACTCAATTATTAGACAATGATTAGGAATAGTCCAAGTTCATAGGAATAAGAACAACCATGCTGGAGGTTCCAGCAGATGTTGGTCAACGTGGCTCTCAATCAGCAGGCAGTTGGCATGTCCCGCTTTGTAGGGAAAGGTTAGGACTTTACCTGGATAACTGCCTTCTTATCAGCCTTGGGCAAGTTCTTTGCCTGACGTTCTGCCTCTTCCCATTCTCTCATGACCTATGAAATGAGAAAATGTTTGAATTTAAAATCATCAGTTCTTCCTTCAGATATAGATTTAATCGGATATATTATTCTATTTTTCTTCCATTTTCATACTTTTAAACATTAAAAAAAAATGTATCACATATCCATTCCTATCTGAATAGTATTTAATTTCCCAGTAGGATCTAAATAATTTATCATAGCAGTAAACTAAACATAAATGTTTACATTTACTGCAGGAATATAGCCCTTTGAAACAAGGAGGTTAGTCCTTTTTTCCCCTGAGAAGTGGGAAAAAAGTCATTTTTTGGGAAAAAATACCAACTATTCATAAAAGGCATATGCTTTCTGAACAAGATCTTCCTATAGTACGTAGAACATTCTGGCTTTAGTCTTTTATGAAAGCAAATCAAAACATTTCAGACTGTATATTTTTAGTATAGGAGGAAAAAAGCAAATATAACATTTTATGTGTGTGTATGTGTCATGAATAGAATGCCAAAAAGAAGTACAAAATGGTTGTCCGAAATCCTAAGATCCACCCCTTTTGAGAACTGATGGGCCATTAAGTTCTGTTACTCACCAACTTGAGTCAAGAATAGCAAGGATTACCCTAAATCCTCCCAGAAATCCCAAGAAAATACACATTATTCTGAGTGTAGCAAAAAAGTATTTTTGACAAGTAACACTAATTTAGTAACCAGGTGTTACAGTTTGAATGTGTCCCCCCCCAAAAAAACTAACTTAATTTGGAAAACTTAATCCCCAATGCAACAGTGTTGAGAGGTGGGACCTTTAAATGGTAACTAAGTCATGAGGGTTCTGCTCTTAGGGATGGATCATTTTGCTATAGCAGGAGCCGTTTGTCAAAAAAACTAACTTAATTTGGAAAACTTAATCCCCAATGCAACAGTGTTGAGAGGTGGGACCTTTAAATGGTGACTAAGTCATGAGGGTTCTGCTCTTAGGGATGGATCATTTTGCTATAGCAGGAGCCGTTTGTTATAAAGTGAATTCCGCCCTCTCTTGCTCTTCCACCTTCCACCATTGGATGACACGACATGAAGGCCCTCACCAGATGCTGGCATCAAGCTCTTGGACTTCCCAGCCTCTAGAATCAGGAAATAAGTAAACTTTCCTTTGTTTCCAGATGTGTTCTTGCACACGAAAACTTGATTTCTGTGGTATTTAAGAGCCTGTTTTTTCATAGGTATTTACTCCTATGGAATTGAGTTTTCTGACATCTCACAAGAGGCTTGTAATAAATAACTATTGAGGGCCGGCCCGGTGGCGCACTGGATGGTGCGCCGCTTGGGAAGAGCGGCAGCGCTCCCGTCTGAGGGTTCAGATCCCACGTATAGACCGGTTCCCGCTCACTGGCTGAGCGAGGCGCGGGAGCAACACCGAGGCTTGCGATCCCGTTGCCGGTCCCCGGTCCGGTACGGGGGCAACACTGAGGGTTGCGATCCGTTGCCGGACACGGAAAAAAGACAAAAGAAAAAAATAAATAAATAAATAAATAACTATTGATAGAGAACTTTTTTTTTTTTTGACCAGTAAGGGGATCGCAACCCTTGGCTCGGTGTCATCCACACCACACTCAATGTAAGTTCAAAGTCAAGTCTCCAGAATTCAGTGCCATAGGTTATGAAGACAAATGTTGATTTCAGGCATCTCACTTTCCTCTGACAAATGGACTCTAGTAGACAACATTCTTTACTCCAGGACAACATCTCTTGGGTTATCTCAGACATATCTGATGACTAAAACATGAAGGAAACCTAACAAAACTTACATGAACTAAGGCATGGGTTAAGCAGATATGCTAAAATAAAGTTACTATTTTAGTGGAGACCTACCATATTTAAAACTAATAGAGTATTCAAAATCAGTTTTCTCTTAATAGGAAGAGAATGACCAAGATAAACTGAAGGAAAAAAATTCAGGATATAATTGTAATTTGTGGTAATAAGCATGCTGATGGTATGGATCTGATCATCAAATCTTGGGCACAGGTAGTGATGGTCACCTTTGTGCCCGTCAATACAAAAAAAAAAAATCAATTAAAAAAATTCTTTTAAGAATAATGACTAAGCGGATTCAAGAATAAAATGCAAGGTTAGTAAGGTTTATAGGGACTAAACGAGTTTATATTCCAACTGGAGAGACAAGATAGTGTTTATTTTTATTACTCTTTTTTAGACTTCATGTGCCGAGTTGAATTTTTGAGGACAGTGGGAAGGCTCTGCAAGATTCAGAAAGAAGAAGACAGGATTTAAGGTTAAAGGAGGACATTTCAGTGGCAATGTGCATGACTCATAGTCCTCCTATGCTTTCTTAACAAAGATTATATATCTGCCTGTGTCTTTCTCAATGAAAATCCTCTTTCTCAAAAGAATTGGCTTCAGGTGAAACCTCGCTATTCCACTGTAGCTACCTTTTTAGTTCAACTTGCACTTAGGTTTCCATCATGGACAACCACTAGAAGTGCACAACGTAATATATTCTAGAGCCAAAAGTATTGTGATTTTAAGTTTTTATTCCTCTTTGTGTTATTATACTAATGTAGATCCTAGTTTTGCCGTTACTCATCTTTAAAAATGAAAAAGTAACTGTGTTGTACCTTTCTAGATACATTACTAATACTATATGATTTAAAATGAAGGTTTTATTATTATTCATCTATGGTGAGGCCAACAGACCAGGAGATGGCTAACACTAAAAAGACAGTTTGTTCTTCACAGTTCCCAAGAGGAGGATGCTTGCCAGGACACACGGGGCCATGTGGGGAAGCACCAGCGTCAGTCCAGAGACAAAGGGAGTGAGGGAAAATACGGTCAAGACCTGTTACTGTGGTTTCCATGGGAAGGAATGGGCAAGGCAGAGTAAACAGGCTTACAATTGACTGGTTTGAATAATTTCTTCAGGCTCTTGGATATGGGGACTGTCCCTAGTTGTCTGGTACCTGGCCCCGGGGTGATTAGAGCAGATGGACAGTGGCAAAGAGTATAAAAACTAGATAAAGAAGGTAGATGTAGGTATGGGTTTTGGATTGGTTGGTTTGCATATGAAAGATGTGCTCACAGGCCATTCATTTGCTATCTCTAAGGAACTGGCTAGCCTTGGGAGGGGGAGCCTCTATAGGGCCAGTAAGGCCCAATATCAGAAAATAAGAAAACATTAACAGTCTACTAAAGACTTATAATCTTAGAAAATATATGGCAGACTAATTCATGAATTGTGTATAATGTCTATCAAAAGACATTTTAAGTATTTGTGCTAAGTAGGACAAAAATCAGTCACACTGTCTGATATTTACCACAGAATACTAATACCGAAAAAATGAATAGTTGACTTCAACCTGAGGTCTTTCTTCATACATTTATGTTTCCTACTTTTTTTTCACATTCACTCCTAAGTTTGTAGACCACAAGTTAGAAAAGTGACTGGCAAATAAGAAATGCCAGATGCCAGTTAATTTAATTAATAAAGGAATGAGGAATCTGAGAAAGGGCTAAAATTCTCTGTAATATCAAACTCTAATACAACATCCATTGCCTGGTAATAGACATAGTTTAAATTGTAGTTGATACTATTACATATAGATTAGCTATGTTTTAGACATGTTAGTTTTCGATTTGTTTAATACAGAATCCGCTTTAAAAAAGGAAAGGCGGAGAAGGGATTGCAGCACTATGTAGTGAAAGGAGCTTCATCATACTAGGAGGAAGGAAGGCTTGGATTGAAAACGCTACCTCTGCCACTTACACTGCTTTGTGCTCAAGTGGGAAGCCACTCTCTTGAACCTCTATTCCATCGTCTATCACTTATGGGACTAGATGAAACAATCATTATGGTTCAGCTCAGCTTTTAGTTTCTGTTTTCTTATGAATTAATTTTGTAAAAAAAATAGTTGGGTCAAAGTTTTAATCATCTGGTATTGAATAATAAAATATTATTCATCTTTACTAAAGAACATTTTAATGGATTTTAATTTACAACATGGTGGTTATAGGTACTCCATATGTACAGATTACTAAAACCAAATACCTTTCTTCACCAAAGAGAATATTGTAGACAATACAATTTGTAAGGATTATAAAATTCTATTATACCTACTACACACAGATCTTTCCTAGGTAGCAGCACACTCATGGAAGATGCAAAGAAACCCAAACTGGTTTCTTTGCTACATCGTAGCAAATATTTAAAATAAGAACTGTACATCTTTAAAGAACTGGATTAAGCCATTGGGCCCTGGGAAGACTGAAGCACAGGTAAATCAGATTTGCAGGACCAAAGGACAGAAAAGCCATGTTTACCTGAGACATTCTCTCTCGGTGCTTGGCCTCAAGCCTCTCTTTGGCTTTCTGGAAGTGGGCGTGTTCATTCTCATCTCCAGGTGTCTCAAGATACTTGTCAACGGCATCAGGGGTGCTGGCTGCTGTTGTAGGAACTATAAAGTAGAAGGGAAGGAGGTTTGAGAAGAGAAAAAGAATATCCAACATTTAAAAGAAAGTCATATTTTCACTTATTTCCCGGAACAAAGAACTTAGTAAAGAAGCACAAACAAGATGTTAATGCTGTTTAAGGGAACACCACAAGTCATCTCACAGCACAGTAAGAATGTATTCCACCTCTTCCAAGAATAGGGTACAGGAAAATCTTTAAAACAGCCTATTTTGCAATTATAGGATTATATGTAGAGTTCTTTGCACAACAAGCATACACAGAGCAAAAACAGTTGGTGCTTAATACAGATATGTGTTTCCAAATCCCCATGCTTTGCTAGATTTTTTTTTTTGTAATCTTGAAAGTAAATTATGGTATCATCAATATCACACATTAAGATTCCCACAGAAACCGAGGAAATCTGAAAATTAGCCTTTTGCAGAATAACTGCACCTCAGAGACAAGGTAAATTTTATGTAACATATTTAAGATAGCTTAATTAAAACCATTCTTCATGACAGAGTATTTGAAACAGTACAAAAAGAAATACAAATATCAACAAATGCAGTTTTGAAATCACAAAAGGACCTCTCTGCTTTTACAAATTTGGCAACAGTCAACAAATTCATTATATCTGTTGTCAGAAAGAAAGTGATTTCTATTTTGGATTCACCTAATACTGCTAAGCAATATTCAAGTTGCAACATATACTGCTATATTATGTGGAAACATAAATACCCATAAAATTCAAGACTACACTATAAAACAAAAATGTACCTAACTCATGAGCCAAGTGAATTACAAATGCCTAGACAAGAAATTTTCCAAAAGATTAGTAATAACTACTGAGAATTCAAAGTATTTACAAGGCTTAAAAAACAAAAAGAGATTTTGACTTAAAAGAAGTAAGCATGTTTAAACTAAAAAATGAGTGAAAAATGAGTAAAAAGTGAAATGAATTTCACTATGTTCTCAGGTCAAATCAATTTAAGTGCTTTATTCAAAAGATTATTCAAATATCACCCATGCTCCAAGTAACCTTTTCACTTTTCTTATCTAATGACATGAATATTATATTTGGGATATAATACCCCAAAGAGGACTTGAATGAGAAGAATTTATGGCTAAGCCGCTTTGAAACTAAAGTCTAAGTTAAATGTCTTTTTTACACATGCTTCTAAAAAATGTCTGGAATCTTAACAATCCAAAGCCTTCAAGATATTAACTAAAACCAAAAGGCCTTTCTGTTAAATAACAAATAAGATTTTTAATTTTAAAGAGAAACATTCATTTTGATTTCTTCCCTTCTACTTCAACCACTGATTGATAATTATTTTCAAAAAATAAAAAAGCAGGTGAAATATCTGACTAGATGTTACTTTCAAGTGGAAGGAAGGAAGAAAGACATATTCCTAGAACCTTTATACAGCTGCCCCCGTCTTCTGTGAGGTAAATGAGTGAGTGGTGTTCCAGCTCACACTGGCAGCAAAGGGGAGAAGACAGGTAAGAGCATGCAGGGTTTTGCAATTACACTCGTCTGGATTTGAATCCCAGTTCTTTCTTAGATCAACTGTGACCCAGAGCAAGAAACATAAGCACTCCACATTCCAGTTTCTTTATCGAGTGGCAACAATATGCTGCATGACATGGTAGGAGTGTTGAGAAAATGAGATTCCATACCATGTGTAAGTCACGGAAAAGAGAGGGTGACACAGAGTACTTCATACATGTTAGTGCCCTTCCCTCCTCCTCTGATTATTACCTCCTTTCCAAATCTTTGAATTTATGCCAATCATGAGAAAAGCAGCTACTTTTATTTCAAATTCACTGAAAAAGAATTACACACAGGACCATGAAGCACCAACTACAGAAAAAAGTACACATGTATTTTCCAAAAAAATCTTTGGTATGTCCCACATAAAAGGCTGAAAGTATCAAAAATAAGTGAGTTCTTAATTCATAAGACTGAAACAATAATTTTCAATATTAAAATTTTTTTGGAAAGAAAAATCAAAGGTAAATAAATGTTTTTCTGCAGAACTTCAAGCAAATGAATATGCATGCTATTTTTAACTTAATCAATTTCTCAATGTGAAATGAAGGTGCATTTTAAATGTGTTTCCCATGGTTTTCAACAATTTCTCATCTTAACTGGTAGGGCTCAAAAGAACAAGTTAAAGTAAAAGCAGAATATAAAACAACAGTATTCTTTTGGCATAGTATAATCTGGCAGAATGACATGATTAGGCAAACCATATTTTATGTTTTAAACAAATTAAAGTGTGTAAATGTTTGGGGTTATATGCACTGATTAAGATAGTCATCTGGCTTTAACTGCTACAACCATAGCATAAGCATCCCTTTGGAAAATTGGAATCGTAAAACTTACTATATAAATAGGAAGTTTTTCCAGCTCTTATGGTTTGTAAATTTTATGATTTTCTCCAATTCTTATGGTTCGCAAATATTGCCTCTGTATAATGGAAAGGAGATAAAACCCTATAATCTGAATCACTATAATCACATTGGCCTCGGTTGAAATGTAGCTTTACAATACTAAGAATGAAAGAATAATCAGGAAATAGACATGCGAGGTATGTTTAACAGGATTAAGAATATTTCAAGTATTAAACCTTCTTTTTAGACACATGGAAATAAATACAAATACTGTATTACCAATTTATTACATTTATCAAGAAATATTTCTGTGATGGTTAATTTTATGTGCTAACTTGACTGGGCCACTGTGAGGGTGTTTCTGGATGAGGTCGGCATTTGAATTGGTGGACTCAGTAAAGTACACTGCCTTCCCCAATGTGGGTGGGCATCATCCAATCTGTTGATGGCCTGAAAAGAAAAAAAAGATAGAGAAAGAAGGAATTTACCCTTTTTGTTCCCTGTCTGCATCACTAAGCTAGGACATCAGTCTTCTGCCCTTGGACTGGCTTTCCTGCTTTCCTGGGTCTCTACCTTGCAGATGACAGATCATGGGACTTACAGCCTCCAAAATAACTGTGTGAGCCAATTCCTTATAATAAATCTCTTCGTATATGTATGTATGTGTACATATATGTTTGTATATACATGTATGTGTATATACATATGTGTGTATATATTCTATATTGGTTCTGTTTTGCTGGAGGGCTCGGAATAATATAATTTCTCTTCAATCAAATCTTTGTTAGGGGACCTAGTTACTTCTAGTAATTGGAGAATTTAAGAGATGCTGTCTTTCAATCTTTAATTCAAACTGTTCAGCCATTCATACTAATCCTCCATCTCAATTAGTATAAGTCAGTAAAATTATCCTATATTCATATCAATCAGCAAACCAGGTCACCATTTAGTCAAGGAGAGAAGAATAACAGCATATTTTGGTATTTTTCAAATGAATTTGATATTTTATTATCACTGCTCTGCAGCCAGTGAGGAGGAAGGAGAGAGCATTTTTAAGGAGGAGGTCCAGAGGGCTCAGCTTCTGTTTCTCTAATATCCCTATATCCTGAAGACATCAATTATCTTACCAGGGCTGGCTACTGTTGTGTGATAATGTCCATGGTGGGCTATGTCCCTACCCATTCAAGGTGTTTCTTTTGGGGAAAGGCGTAGCTCAAGGAATGTCAAGGCATGTCCCACGACACAAAGGGAACAAGAAAGCTGTATACTGCAGGTCACTTAAAACACAGGTCACTGTAACCACTTAGAAAGTGAAAACAAACTGGCTTTAAGAGGGTTTCGCTTTTGTTTTTTTGTCTTTTTTAAGCTGTTACCCTGAAGCAGTTTATCCTGTTCAGAGACCTCTGAGGTTCTAAGAGACCTTAGAAGCTATGACCTGGGCTCAGATTTCCAAGCTGGCCAAATAATACTAGTCTCTTTTCATTAGGCATGTTACATGAGTTCTCATTTAATAGGTGGGGAGAAAAAAAGTCACTATTTTATTGTGTAGAGGGGAAACCCTATCATTTAACATAGTCACACCCACAAACACACATAAAGTCTGAGTTTAGGACTAGGTAAACCATAAAAAGATATAAAGTTAATTTTTAAAGGACTAATCTACCAACATGTCCAGGCAGCTGGAAAGGGTATGTTTTGTTTTGTTAATGAACAACATGAGTTCACAAAAAATATGTTTTTTTAGGATCTCTGTTGGCTTATTTTCTATCAAACAGCTGTTCCTGCTCTGAAAAATATCTGCTAACAGAATTAGAGCTGTAAAACAGGGGTCAAGCGAAAGATCCCATAGAGGTGGAACAGGGATGACTTTTTAGCCCTAGGTCCCTGCTGAAACATGCTCACTCATATTATCTGTGAGCAAGCTAGCTGGATCACCTTTCCACAAAAAACTGGACTTAACAAAGCTCAGGGTTAAACATCTTAGCTCTAAGTTTTGATCGCTAGGCACCCAATCATTAGCAGCACTACCAACATCATATGCATGGGCTTTTACAACTTTTTAAATGACTTTCATTTTTATTTTCTTATTTTAGTCCCATAAAAGCCTTGTAGGAGATGGTAGATACATAACAGTGAGGATGTATCTAAACACTCATAACAAATGAAAAAATACAACAGAAAAGCAGTTCCAATTCACAGTGGATTAAGCCTCAAGTCAACATTCAGCTTCCAAATACTCACTGGCATTATGGATGACCAGTGCCTTTCATGTAAGCTCCGTCCTTGATCTCTGCAACCCTGGGAGGTCAGAGATATTTAAGCAGCTGAGAGAGCAGCTCTGAGTACACAGACTATGCTGCCTTGAGTGTGCCTGTCGGTTCCTTTATTTCTCCATCCCACCAACACTGTAGCCCCCACTGTATGTGAGGGATGTGTGGGCAACCTAAGAGCAAAACGAAGCCCCTTGTCCCGGTGGAATTACATTCTAGTGAAGGAAATAATCACCACGGGGGAAAAAAAAAAGAAAAGAAAAAAGACAAAGAAATCATATTGTTAGCATGTGATTTACATTACGGAGAAAAAGAGGAAAGAAGAAAATAGAACAGG